TCATGTCCAGCTTCCCACTCACCGGTACTCAGATCTTTTTTTGGCAGGGCTATGCTCAATTGTTTCATCCCCCAGTTTGTATTGGTAATGAGAATTGTCTCAACCAAGGTGCAAGACCTTGTACTTGGCTTTGTTGAACCTCATGAGGTTCACCTGGGCCCACTGCTGAAACCTGTCTAGGTCCATTTGGGTGGCATCCTATCCCTCTGATGTGTTGACTACACCCCACAGCTTGGTGTTACCCACAAACTTGCTGAGAGTGTGCTCGATCCCACTGTTGATGTCATTGCCTTGTACAAAATACAGGGCTTGGTCTTCATATCACATCTCGAAGATTCTTTTTGTCAGATCCTATCAAACAAAATGAGTGAATGTATGATTCTTTTCACATTCTGAACACTTTACATTGATTATTGAATTTATTTTCTCAGTGTAGAACAGTGGGAGAGAATGGAATTGTCTTTATTCCTGTTTCACACCTGTTAAACTGGATCAGAGAGATAAAGCAGTTGTATCTAGAGGCTTCTGCTGCAGCAGAAATAGAGCTCACATTTCGGTTGACTCACAAATGTCAACAAATGACAGCTGCCGAATTGCAGGACTCATGACCGTGTTTTCCCTCAGCTTCTTTCCACAGAAGAGTGCTTCATTCTGTTTTTGACACATGTCTATATTTGGAAAGTATAGAGAAGCCGTGAGAGATTCACAGTGTTACAATTAAAGGTCCTGGAAGAGTGGAAGATTTAATCTTTTCAAGATCTTCACGAACAATGTAATCCTTTGGCTTTTGTTTCCAGGAACTTCAATGAGGTCATTGGAGATGCAGCAGTGCTTTACAGAGCACCAACTGTTCTTTTATTTACACAGTGGACATGGCAGAATAAGAAATGGGGAAAAACGTGAAGGGAAGGGAGTCTCTTTGTAACATTTACTGTGCTCAATCTTATCAAGCTTGACTCACGATGCAGACAGATTCACTCTGAAAAATATCCTCAACATCTGACTTTAAAGTATTTAGAGCAACTGAATAATTGGAATAATTCATGTTTTTATTAGTAGGAGCCACTAAATATCCCTAACTAACCACATCTTCCTCCAAATAAATAAATAAATAAATAAATAAATAAATAAATAAATGAATAAAATAAACAGAGCAGCTATTTAAAGAAAGAAAAGGGCAAGGAAGTCTTAATATGCTTTATAAATGTGACAATGCTGAATGGCACCAATTTTCCAAACAACTGTTTCTCAAACTACTGCAAAGTAAATGGAGCCAGTGTACTATCAGGGTTACATTGAGATACAACCTTACAGAAGTGATTCAAGGTTTTTCTTACCATTGTAGTTCTGTATCAAGCAGATAGTTAAGGAAGCTGGAGATGCAGTATTGTTCAATGAGGTCCTTACTGAAGCACATGATGTTAGCTTTTTGGTTGGATATATCAAGCTAGATTGTAATCTGGGAAAAATTATAGCTGCTAACAGTGCGCTAACTCTCTTTGGACTTGCTGGAAGAACCTGTCAAAGCAATGAAAGTGCCAGTGATATCACAAAGCACTTGACTGTGCAGACCCCAGCTTCTAAGAGTGTGTCACTCAGCAGTATTTTTTAACTGAAAATTAGATGTGAAATGTTCTTTCTACAGTGCAAAGGAGAAATAAGCATCTAGGAGTGAGATACAGTGCAGAGCCTGCTGAGTAGAGTTTCCTGTGGAGATAAGTGGGAAATACTGAGAAGTTCCCAGAAAAGGGCATTTCATTCACATGTGAGAAGCTGCAGTGAGAAGCAGCAGCATCTGGTAGGCAATTGGTTATAGCATTCACCTGGAGTGTGCAGATCAAATTCACAACCTTTCGGTGCTCATATCCCAGAGGAAATTGTGCAGCCACCATGAAATTCTCTATGATAGGGCCCTCTCAGTTCCTGCATGTGTTTGGGACAGAGATAGAGGATGATTTAATGTTCCAGAGGTTAAGATTTACATCTCAGAAGAGAACGCTCTGTTTCCAGTTCCTAAACTTACGTATTTCCATGTGTTTTCATACAAAGTGTAGCAGTTTCAGCAGGGGTGACTGGTTGAAGCCCACTTCAAAGGTAAGTGGTCTGGTGGCTGTGGCCCTTTCCAGATGGGAGGAAGATAGGTGACATTCATCTAGAGCAGAGAGAGACCCAGATTTTTTACTTTGTTCATGTTCTAGATACCAAAGTGTTCATTCTAAATCTGGTCACCCACTTTAATTCTTCCCTGGAAATGTACACCAGAGGAAGACTTCCTTAATGTGAAAGATCCACAGTTTTCCAGGCACAGGAATGGCTAGAAATAAGCCTTGCTTCAGAGTGCTGCATAGACTTCTAGGCTTTTAGCAGCAGAATTTTGGACATATCAAGGACATACAAATAAAATCATAAAAAAATAATTTGAATTGAAGGAGTTAGATTTCATTTATTATAGAATTTACATATTTCCGTTTTTATAGCGTTGTTGAAAATAATTTCATTGTTTGCTTGCTTAAAGCTGTTCTCTGGTGCAGCAATGACTAAACAGTAAAACAAGCTACATACCTGCCAAGTATATCGTGATCCCAGACCAGCAGCCTGGAGTTAAAATAATCCATCTAGCTCAGCAATGTGGATGCCATTTATGGCAGTGCTGTCAGTGGCTGGAAGTCTAACTCACGGTTCCCTTTTTTATTTTGCCATCACTGCTATGAACCCACCAGGACAGGATTTGCAGTTACAAATGCTGATTCTCATGGTTTCAGCTCCCTGCATTGTGCTTTCTCTGGCATCACAGTCCAGCTGTTTATGCATGTCTATTATGTCTCCTCAAGGCATTCATAAAGGAAAACAAGCTTCCCCTTCAAGGAAGGTAACAAACATCATAAACTCAGCTGCATTTTACAGAAATTACAGTGAGTTGATTCCTACTGAGCTTCAGCCTGTGGCACAGAATGTCTTGGATATTGCAGAGTTTTCATTGGGTTTCACAGCTGCTCAGTCAAGAAGTAACTTGTAAGATTTTTCTGTGCTTGTGAGAGAAAACTGCATGCCTGCGGTGAATCTAATTGAAAGGCACAGATCCATAGTATCACCTTTGCCTGCTAAATGCTCCTCTTTATCTCAGCCTGGGCATGTGATCCTATGAACCTTGCAGTGGGCACCAACTACAGTGCAGAGATGGACTATAGTCTGGCAGCAGTGTGTGCTTCCCTAAAGCAGGGTGAATAGCATTTCTTGACTCCTATGAAATATCCTGTTCAGTGTTCAGAATCTGCAAAATGGAGCTGTGTATCTTTCCTGCAAGGTTTCGAATGTTACTTTCTCCTCTCATATTGCTTGCTGGAGCACATAGTGCAGTGTATTTCATTACGCGTTAACAAAAAGTGTTCTACAGTCTTTAAAAATACAGTGCAATTCCAGCACATGGTGATAATGAGCAAAAATCTGCAGAGATAGAGGTACTTCTCTTCATCATTAAATGGTAGCCATGAGCATGAAAGCAAGATCATTTTTAGTAGAGTGTGCAAAACATCTTACGGTGAGAGGAGAGTCTCCTCTGGTGGAGACTGTGTCTACTATATATTGGACTAGAAGATTCAGAACACACTGTTCTCTTCTGTCATGTCTGAGTCTTGTGTATGTTGACAGCATTGAACTGTTTGCTCCGCAGAGTACTACACTGACATCATATACCTATTTATTATAGTTTTTCAGAGTTTAGTGCTGTCCATCTTTCTTATCTTAATTCAGTAGTGTGATGATGACTTTTGAGATGCTTTGGGTATGTGAACCATCTTCAGAGAGCCAGCTTGTTTGATAACAGAGATCTGTGCTCTGCTGGATTAGGAAATGATGGCTAAGTTCCTGATGGAAGTATGTGATGCTTTTATTTAGACAGCTGCGTAAAGCCCCACACATCTATGCTGAGATCATGAGGTTCTAAGCTCATACATACCAACCTGAAGACAAAAAATGCTAGTAGGTGTTAGTCATCTCATCCTGAAGTACACATCTAAAACAGCTCAGATGTACTGCATCCTAGAAATGCCTACTGCTCTTCATTCCTTGATTTATTTATATCAAAGGAGTTTAGGTATCTAGCTCACATGTACTTTGCAAACACAAAAGTCAGATAATTATAATTCCACCCTGGATAGAGTACCTGATAAGCAGAAGCGATATCCTGCTGTTTCCTAATCATAAGATCTTTGCTTAAAAACTGTAAGACTACAAAGAAAGACAGAGACCAAACGTAGCTGTGGAGGCCGACATACCTTTGATATGGATAGTGTGCAGCTCATTAATTGGTTGATACTTGGCCTGCTGTGAGTAATGTGACAAAAAATCTTGTGGCGTTACAATGCTTAATACATCTGATTTTATTGTGGACAACTCAAATCAGAATTGGCTTGTACTATAACAAAGACATATAGTACTTAGATATTTCTACTCTAGATAATGCCTGTGAAGCTTTATTTTTACTTATAGAGTTATTGGATAAAGATCAAGTGATTGTGACTGAATATTTAATAGCACATATATCAATGAAGTTAGATCAATTGTTAAGATACAGTACACAGAGTTTACTTTCAGGTTATTGATAGCAAATGTAGCCAATTAATATGATGATGGATATAATATTGTTCCATGAAAGAGGAAAAAAAAAGGCAATAAATATAACTGTTCTAGGGTAGTTTTTCAATAGATCTTATATTCATATTCTTTCTGATAAACTGGGGTTTGGGGCATATAAGAGGAGCTGTGATTGTTAGACAAACTCTGATTCTCTTGTGCAAGGCAGTTGCTCGTAATTTGTGTATTGTTTGTACATGTGGCCACACATAAGGGAACAAACCAAAACGAGCAAAAGAAACCAAAACAAAAAGCCCCACATCATTAAACAATTGAATCTCATGACATGCAGAAATGTGCTTACTTTTTCACATCAGTTTATGAAGAAGTTTGGAATGCAAAATATGCTGTGTTCTACTCCTTTCTAGGTCTCCTACGTAAAAGCTATTGACATCTGGATGGCCGTGTGCCTTCTCTTTGTCTTTGCTGCATTACTGGAATATGCAGCAGTCAACTTTGTTTCACGGCAGCACAAGGAGTTTCTGAGGCTTCGAAGAAGACAAAGAAGACAAAACAAGGTATAGTTGCCCTTTACTCTAGGTGCCCAACTTTACCCTGACAGCATATTTGACATATAGGTTGATTTCTCACCTCAGTTCTTGCCCTCGATGGACAGTGTCTTTATAATGTTGATTTTTTGTGATTTATTCTTAAAGAAGATGTTGAAAATTATCTGCTGGCTTTATTTACAGTTCATAAAGACATCAATAAATGTCAATAGACTGGTCACTGATTCCAAAAATTTTATTCTCAAAATTGATGAGGCAGCTGTACCTTTACCCATACACTTATTAGCTATTTAGGCTAGACTGACCTCAGGTTTTCTTCTAATCCCCAAATACTGTTATTATATGGCGCCAACTAACAGATAAGGAACAACAGGACACAATGATACAGACAGCATACTAGCATTATTATTTCTCTGAATTCATCCAGAAATGCTAACATAAGCATATGCTTAAGACCTGTCTTTTCTAGTGTCTTTTCTTGCTAAAATTGGAGATTCTCTAACATAGTCCCCTGTAGGTGTGATGAGCAGTTCTGCCCTCACTTCTAAACCAGCACTGAGCAATGTATTTCCCTCCTGAAATCAGCAAACCTAACCACTGGGAAAAAAGAAAAGGATTAGGGCAACTTCACATGTTATTACTGGTACTAACTTCAGTTTTTTAACAAAAGAATGTTTTGTGAGGATTATGATTATATAATTTTATACCAACCGAAATGTAGAAGAGAGGCTTGTTTTTAATGTCGAAATCAGTCTGGAAATATTTTTAAGAAGTCTGTCAGTGTTTCCTGATTTCTTATTTCTTAAAAGAAAAGGCAAGAATAGACATCAAACTGAATTTTAGTCAATTTATGATGAATTCCCACAGCTATAGCATCCTTCCTGTATTTGTTTCACTGGAATTCAGTATCAGCAGAAACATTTAGGCTTGTATCTCCGCAGAAACAATTGCTAGGCAAAGTAAATATTCACTTGAGTCACATGCGAGTTTCAAGTTGCTAATAATGGTATCCTTACTTTAGCAATAACAAGAATGGCATAGGGCATTTGTGTTTTGACAGGTCTGTCTAATAATTATTCTGTAGCTAATGGAATATTTGATGGATGCTCTGGGAAGCAATCCAGTACTGTCCTCAGATTTAATGCTGTTGTCAGATGAATTGAGATTCTGATTCAGATTCTGAGAGGGAATAGAAATGCTTGCCTGTCTGTAGGCACACATGGCAGATACACTGCCACTAGAAACCTTTGTTTCCAGTAACGATGCAACAGCAGAAGATGATGTATGGAGTCTGTAATTTCAGTTTTGGGTATGATGTCTTCTTCAGAAGTGAACTAGTTGCCAAGACGCCACTACTGGTAAGTAATAGTATGGCAACAATGTCACTTGAAAATTATGAGATTTTGATTATGGTTTGGTTTTGGTTAGTCATTCACCTACCGTCAGAATGATTATTTTGGTGACTATTAAGGGCAAGATACTTGAAACTTGATCATCTGAAGAGACCACTCAAGCAAGTCAGTTGATTCTACACAAAATGGACGATTCCCTAATTAAGCACTGGATAACACTCTTTTGGTGTAAGATACACTTATCCTTTTGCACAGGGTTTCTATTATTTTTTCTGTGAATCTGGTTGCACAAATTTTGAAATAGGGAATGATGATATTGAGCACTTTTTAAAGCATTTTCTGCGTCTCTTTACTTGAGTTTGTATTTCACGATTTTCTCTGTTTTGCCTTGAAAGTGGTTCACATTGTTTTGCATGACGGTCTTCTCTAACTGAGCCAATTCTTCTCTTTGCGTGTTATGTATGTGTTGTTGTGTTGCCACTGTGCTGTTCTTATTCTTGCTGCTGCTATGTATGCTGACACTCTGGGGACAGGCACAGACTATGACTTTTGGGAATGAAAGCGTCGATTCCGTGAGGCGCATGAATGGCTTGCAAAGAAAAGAGTCATCAGCTTACGGGACAGTGAATCAGATCGGCAATTCAAGTTTGAGGGTAAAACTGTAGTAAGAAAGAGAAAGCAAGAGAGAGCTTTAGTATGTGCAATGATGTCATAAATCAGCAGAATGGATGATTTTCATGACATCGCCAGTAGCCTCTTGCACTCTCTTTTCTAAATATCCCACACAATATATGGAGTACTGTCCCCAGCATGAACAGCAATTTCATGTTGCATGTTATTGTAGCCCGTCCTTATGATTGCTTTTTTCCATGGTTGGATTGTGCTGTTTCTTCTCCAAACCTAAGGAAAGTGTATGTGTATTCTGTACCCTGGCCCTGTATATATATGGGGAGGATGGGAGTTAGGGGACCAAGTGTGGTGCAGGAGCATAGGAAGTGCTTTGACATAGAAAATACCACACTGTGTCATCTTTCAGATGACTGCATTCCAACCAAACTAGGTACATATAATGAAATGCATTTTACTGGTATGGTATTTATTTCTCAACTGTCGACCTGTGGTGTACCTTCTTGTCACGTCCTGAACATTGTCTAGTGGAGTATGAAGAAAAAAAATGTATTTCACTGTTTTTTTCCAACTTGTTTTGAGAAGAGCCATGGGGCTGAAATTCTGTACACAGTGTGATGTGTAGTAGATCTGAAGCAATATGATAGCCACTGATAGATCCAGATTATGGGTGAGTTGTGGAAGTAATAAAATCAGTGATGGAGAGAGAAACAAGCTTAGTGTTCTCCTCATTGCTTGCTACTGGTGGCAGAGAAATGAAATCCATTTGTTCAAATAAAAAAGGACTAGAATTTAAATTTTTCAGGGCCTGGTTTTCCAAAACTAAAACATCATTGCCCAAATAGCTTTTGAGCTGTAATAGGCCTCTTACTTTGATCAAGGTTTGTAAAGTTATGTGATTATAAGATGTAGATTATTTTAGTGGATTTTTTTCACTTCTAGGGGAATTACTGGCTTTCAAAATCAAAGCAAATAACACAGATCCTGTTACACTGCAAAATTATGTTAGAGGGCTTGCAACGCAATAAATCATTCACTTAAAGAGCAACAATAGCAAACAGCAGAAGAGAGTCTTCATTTCTGCATTCTTTCTACTGTAGAAATAATCACATTTACCCATAGGCAAAAATGAACATAAGCACGAAAGTTTTAGGGATAAAGCCGATATTACTATGCTGCCACTGGGAAGCTGATGTCATAACTCCAAAAAAAACAGTACAAACAAAGACTTGCTATTGTCTGTCTGATCAGTCACATAGTGCTACTAGTCCAGCTAGGTTCATTTAAAACCCAGCTACTCTCTGACTGCAGAAAACTGGTGGAAATATCACTTCTACTTCTTAATATCGTGTATTACACACACATCCAGCACTACACAAAGAGGGACTACATCTCTGTACTATTTTTGCTGCAAAATCCTGAGATCTGAAAATGGTATCTGGAGTTGATTTCCCCTAGAGAACTCCCACCACGAAAGTGATTTGCTCTAGTAAGGTGGAGATTCCTGGAGCAGTGTTGTCATAGATGAAGCTTGGTACTTTTCTGCTCAAGAGAAGGACATTTATCTGCAGAAAGGAATACATCCCGTGGTCCCACAAGACACCTCCCAAGCAGGGTTTGTGGCTCCCTGAGTTATTGCTTACTAAGCTAAGGGCTTATGGAGAATGCAAACCTAAAAGTCACAAAAAAGGTGAATGACTGGCACAGTCAAGAAGACACAGAAGAAAAGGGAGGTCGTTTAGTACTTACACTGCATTATTCAGAGCTAGTTTGAAGAAATAGACACCAAGACATGCCAGGTCAAGATTCCTGAATTAAGCAGATTGATCCTCAAAACTGTTCTCAGTATTGTAAGCCTTCATCCCTGCTTTCATTATTGTTACTGCTGTGTTGTGTTCCTCATGGTGGTGTGACCTCCTCAGCATTGTATGAAAGCACGAGAAATCTGAGACTATCAGAAGTCAGGAAGGTTAATGCTTCTCCAGGAAAGTTTAGGTTGTACTGCTGACTGTCCAAAATTTGTAATTACAGCTGAACAATTGACCCATCCCTGCGTTAGAAACAACTGAACTGTTGTCCAGTTCAGGACCTGTTGCCACTTTCCATAAGGAATGAAACTCTGTATCCTCAGCCCTTCAGCCTATCTGCATTCTCCATACTGTTTCTGCTGGAGGAAATATTCAGTGCTCATCCTAAAGATCTGTGTAGTCTTCCTGCTCACAATGAAATGCACTCAACAGTAGCCATATCTCACTGCTGAAATAAACGGTTGTTGATTTGCTGTACAATATGATATTACTTTTTGTGTAGGGAGAGTGCAGCCTGCAAAAGCCATGACTCTGGTGGAATGGAGGATGTAATACAGTTGCACTATATTAAAGTCTAAATTTGCTTAGTGCCAGATCATCTGAAGAAAAACAACTTCTTTTTAAAATATTATTTGTAATAATCACAGAAGATTTGGTTATTTTTCAAAATGATGGGTTTCTAGTGAAGCAGAGCTCTATTTACACAGCCTCTATCATCTCTTTTGGAAAACAGTAATTATTATGTTACATGATCAGTAGTCAAAATGAGTCACAGTCCATGAGTATTTATACCAGTGTCTCAAATATGATTTCCTGAATTACACTATGACCAAGAGTGGGGGTTAAGTTTGGGAATGTTAGTGTTAAAAGCAATACTTGGCAGCTTGAACAAAAAAATTGTGCAGCTGGAGGCTGTGACAGAATTTAATCTCATGTGTAGGGAACATGGAGCAATACAAATAACAGTGCTGCAACCAGGGGGGCTCAGATGCATGCAGATTAGCAGAGGGAGGCACAAATGGTGTTTTCAAATGACAGAGCTGGGACTGAGACTTAGTGATTACAATGGCAAAAGATAACTCTGCTAAGCGAAGGAGGAGGTACCTGGCCAAATGGTCAAGAGAACTGCTGATCTCTGGACAGAGCCTGCCCATGGGCAGGCAGGTAGCCACCAAAAAAATGCTGCCACATCTAGGTGATGAAATATTTCCATCTTTGAAAG